GGGAGTTGATGTCTCTCCCTCCTCGCCAAGCCTGGGTCAAGAAGCCTGTCCACCGGGGACCAGCCGAGCCGTGTGACTGTGGGAGGCAGCTGAGGGCCATGGCTGACGCTGACCCAGAGAGTAAGCAGAGGCTGCAGGACGGTGTGCAGTGAGTGTTCTTCGGAAGCTTCTGGAATCTCGGGCCGAGAGCCACGCCTGTAGACGTGGCTAGGACCACGTGGCCATGTCATTACTGGCATTCGCTTATTGTAACGTCCGTTTCAGAGCACAGGTGGTGGCGAACGCCAGGCAGGGGCGGCTGGCGTGTAGCTCACAGCGGCCCAGCCTGCAGGTCCACCTGGGGACGGCGGGGAAGCAGGAGGAGTCCTTGCCCTGCTCGGACCTGGCCAAGCACATCTGGTCGGGCCTCCCCCACCACGCGCTGAGCTTCAGGAAGCCCGTGTGCGGCAGTACTGGGGTCACCCTGGGAGCTGCGAGGCCTCAGGGCCGTCAGGAGGACCTGGAGAACTGACCAGAGGGTGGGAGCCAGTTTGAGGGCCCCCAGTTCAGAGCTGTCGCCTCTGTCCACTGTTGAACCGCAGAGCTTAGGCCTCCAGGGTCCTCTGTGCGCCAGCCCGACGTCTCCCAGGACACTCCGTCGTCGAGGTGGTGACGGACAACATGACGAGGCTGCCCCTCCTCGCCCCCGGGGAGGAGGAGCGGCCTGGGGGCTCCTGGCCTGGGCTGCTCTCCGCACATCGCAGGCTTTACTCCTGTGGCCCTGGGCAGCCGGGAGGAGCCAGCCTGTGTGCTGCCCGTCCGTCCGTCCACCCGTCCGTCTGAGATGCCCTGGATTCTGGAAGGGGCGGTGCGGCGGCAGCTCCTTAGACTCTGGAAAGGTGCAGTCTGAGGGGTCCTGGGCTCAGCACCCACCATACCACCCGGAGTCTGCCCTGAGCAGCCGCCTCTCCCCTGCAGGGACCGAGGGGCTGGCACTGTCTCCCATGCCTGCTGTCACAGCCCGCAACGCCGTTGGCCCTCGGGGGTCACGCGAGGGTCTGGGCCTTTCCCACGAAGGCCCATCCCAGTCGAGCACTGCCGTGAAGTTCTGGCCGAGAACACAAGCGTATCTCAATGGGGAGGGCTTTGTCTACTGGAGGAACACGCGGGTTCCGATTCCCACCCCAGACCTTTTGTTAAACGTTTATAGGCGAAGTTCCCATTCCCAGCCCCTCCCCCAGAAAGGACCCGTTTATCAAAAACGTCGCACGTGACTGAGCGTCACCTGTGACCTCATACAGCCGCGGGCGAGCGGTGACACAGCCAGTATTTCCTGTGAGCCCGGAGCCTTCCTGGTCCCACCATTGTTGTTCGGCTCTCGCCTGGAAAAAAACAAGAGTTATTTACTAGGGGTTGGTGTTGTGTTTGTCGAGCTGTGCTGGGAAGTGCCCCGTCCGAGGCCTCCCAGTGGCAGTCTTCACTGGTCTCAGGGGACTGTTCTGGACATCGTGGGGCCTCCGGGGGAGGTGGCGACCCACACTCTTCCGGGGCTTCTCAGCGACGTGATGGGAAGCATCTCTCTTTCTTGCTAACATGCTCAGACAGAGCTGTGGCCAGGCCCCAGGCTGTCCCCGTGGGTGTCTGGGTCACGGTACGTCTCCAGGTGACCAAATGTGACCTTGATTTCCTGGCGGGCTTGCATGTCTGCCTGCTGGAACCTGCCTAGAAGTGACCCAGGGAGCCGCCTGGAGATAGCCACAGGCCCACGCACCTCCCAGGTGACCGTCTTCCTCGCCGACCGCCCCTGGCCAGCTCCTTAGGGCAGCCCCCACTCTCCCACACAGCCCCTCACGCCTCAGCTCCCCAGCTGCGTTTCCCATGCTCTCAGGACTCCAGGTTCCCACAGAGTGGACAGGTGGCCCTGGGATGGCACCAGACCCACCTGCAGGTGTTCAGAACCTGGCTGCTGTCAGGCAGATGAGGTGTCTCGGCTCAGGCCCCTGCCCTTCCAGGGAGAGAACTTGGTGGTGGGCACTGGAGCGGTGCCGACCGTGTCTGCGTGCCACCAAGCGCAGAGCAATCGGCCACGCAGCCAGCCCGGATGTGTGGTCTGGTGGGAAGTGAGGCCCACCGTGGGGCAGAAGCTCCTGGAATCCGGATCCTTGCTCACCTGGGTGCTATGGCATCTCTGCCTCAGTTTCCCTGCCCAGGAGGTAACAGGTGCAGGGCACCTGCCTGATGGGGCCCCTGAGAGGGTAGGAGATACCTGTGGCATGGAGTGTGGGTCTGAAGCCGCCATGGTGCTGGGCTGGGCTGTGTCGAAATCGCTCAGCTCGGGGGACGTGGGGCTTGTACCTGGCCACACTGAGTATTTGATGGGCCTGTGGACAGAGGGGACCTCCTGTGGCTCTTGCACAGCTGAGCAGGCTGGGAAGGGTGACCTGGTGCCACAAGCCTGCAGGCTGCCCGAGGGTGGGCGACGGAAAAAGGATCCCGAAGCTGCTGGGCCTCACAGGGCCGGGGTGTCTGTGGGAGGTAGAGCTAAGGGCGGGGGGAGCAGCCTCAAGGTAGAGGCACACAGCACCCGCCCCCCTGGGCAGACTGGAATGGTGCATCAGGTCAGGGAAGGGGAGGGGCCCCAGGCTGGGCAGAGCCCTTGGGGGTGTGTGACTACTGCCCCTGCTGTTTCCACACCCCGCTGTGGCTGCAGCTACCCACTGCGTGCCAGGCCTTCCCAGCTGCACAGGCTCGTGGACCAACTCACAGTGGCATGGTCAGCCCGTATTGCATCTTCGGAGCCCGGCGTGCAGGGTGAGCGTGCACTCAACCGTGGTCTTGGATCCCGGCGTGCAGGGTGAGCGCACACTGGTCGAGGTCTCGGATCCCGGCGTGCAGGGTGAGCGCCCACTGGCCAAGGTCTCAGGTCCCGGTGCATGGGGTGAGCGTGAACCGAGCCGATGTCTCAGATCCCAGTGGGTGAGATGAGTATGCACCATGCTGTGGTCCCAGATCCCATGGAACATGACAGTCGCATGACAGGAGAGCCACCTTTTCGGAAGCCACAGAGTCTGGGAAGCAGTGGGGTTGTGTCCTCCGAGTCTGGAGTAGGGAGTGACGGCTAGCCCAGAATTCCGTGTCCAGCAGAAATACTCCTCAGGAACTGCAATAAATGATTTCACGTAAAACTTGAGCATAGTTGTTATCAGCAGAGCTGCTCTGTCAGAAATGCTGAGATTCTTCAGGCTTGAGAAAAGTGATATGGGCCGAAAACATTTTCAAGAAGGAGAGCGCTGGGAGTGGTGAGATGTGTGGGTAAATTACAGAAGATGAGTTTTATTCTTGGGTGCCTTAAAATAACTAAGTTCAAAAATGTGGAGGTTCCCATGCGAGCTGCGGGGAAGGGGGCCAGGCCGCGGCGACCCAGCAGAGCCAGGTTGGGGGCGGTTAGGCCGCAAGCCGGGCACCAGCTAAGGAGGATCTGGCCACAAGGCCGGCCGCGCTCTGAGGAGGGCGCCGTCGTGGGTGTTTTCGGTGGTGCCGCCAGGGCACAGCTCCGACGGTGGAAGACGAGGCCTCCGCCTCCCGTAAACCTGAGCCCGCCGGACACACTCGGCAGACTCCTTGCTCCCTGAGATGGCGTGCAGTCTGCCGACCTCAAATGGGCGCGGAACCAGCCACCCCAAAGTTGTGTGGCGTAGGGCCAGAGCACAGCCCTCGGGCTCCGGGCGGGTGCGGGCTGTTGCAGCAGGCAAGCCGGCAGGGGCGACCTCCTGCCACGTGGGCTTTTCCTTCTCACTGCTTCAGCGCGTCCCCGTGCCGGCCTGGAGTCGCGGCCAGTGGAACCTGGCGTGCCGGGGCCCTGCACTGTCCTGCCTGCTCTGTGAGACGTGCAGAGACGCGGTCTCCAGCTGGAGGCGTGGTCACCCTGGACGAATGGCCCTGAAGCCCACCCATCCTCGCAGTCAGCGCGCCTTCCCAGGGCCGCCAGCACCCTGCCTCTAGGGGCAGAGGTCCTTCATGCCCTGGCACATCGCAGAAGTGCTGTGTGTGCACACGGGCGTGTGGTTGCACTGGGCCGCAGACCGTGCACACCGGTGGTCCACGTGACCCTGACAGGATGGTCTGCCCGCCCCGTCTCTGTTGACAGTTCAGTTTGCATGGCAGGGAGGCAGCTTCCAGGCTGAGGGGCGTGGACTCTGGTCAGGCAGCCTGGACTAGAATCCTGTGGTCTCCACTGCCAGCCTCCTTGAAGCTGTGTGACATCTCTGAGCTCCCGGTTCCCTGCCCACAAAGTGGGTACAACCCTCCCGTCCCTAGTGGCTTGGAAGGTCACACGCAAGGGTGAATGTCGGGGGGCTAGCCGGATGTAGTTCTCGCCTGCTCCCCGCTGCACAGCAGGGCTTCTCCAAAGGCTCCGCTGGGTGACCTAGCACCCCAAAGCTTCGCGGACCCTGCACAGGGCACTTGCAACTAGTGAGGTCTGAGAGTCCTGGACTCTCGTGGCCTCTGAAGCTGCACCTCTGCCCTGCTGTCATGGGCTGTCGGCTGTCCAGGGAGGTCAGCTCTGTGCCAGGCGCCCTTTGGGAAGGTGGCCTTCAGCAGCCCCGAGGCCTCATCTGCACCAGCATCGTGGAGGGTCTCAGCCCGAGGCCACAGCCCCCCCGCATGCCTGCTGTGTGTGCAGGCAGCCAGGCCAGCATCCCTGTGGGCAGGCCTGGTCATCCAGGCCAGTGACGAGGCTTTTCTCTGGCCACCTGGTGCTCGCTGTTAGGTTCTGGTGGATTTCTAGTCACCCAGCTTCTCGGGACAAAGAAAGTCTCCCCTGAGGAGACACTAATGGGGCACGTTGTGTGCACGTCTCTGCGTGTTTGTGTGCACATCTGCGTGTATGTGCACGTACCAAGGCACCCTGTCCTGGCACTCCTGGGGCAGCTGAACCAGTGCGCATGTCTCCACGTGTCATGGCTGCGTGCCCACCTGTGCAAACGTGCTGCACGTGTAACGCTGCGTGTCCTTTGCAGGCCTTCCGGAGCAGTACTACAGTCTCACCTGGTTCCTGAGCCCCATCCTCGGCCTCATCTTCACGCCCCTCATCGGGTCTGCGAGTGACCGGTGCACCCTGAGCTGGGGCCGCCGGCGGCCGTTCATCCTCGCCCTCTGCGTCGGCGTCCTCTTCGGCGTTGCGCTTTTCCTCAACGGCTCTGCCATTGGTGAGTGACTCCAGCCAGCCCCCAGCCTGACCTGCACTTTCCGCTCAGTGACACGTGTGGGTCTCGGCGCCTCAGACTGCCTGGCCTCAGGGCCGGTGTGGGCTGGCCACTGGCGGTCCTGGCGCTGCCAGGAGGCCCCACGTGGGAACGCCAGGGAGACGTGTTCACAGGGAAACGCTTCCTGTTGTGACCGCTTATTTCCAGTGCGTGTCTGACACCACGTCCTGTTCCCAACATATTTCAGAAATTATCTTTTCTTTTTTGTTCTCCTTTTCTTGGACTTAGTATCGAAAGCGCCCAGACCCCGAGCTGACGTCTGTAGGTGTGTCCATGCCCTTCTCGGCGTGCTGTTTCAGTAAAGCAGCTCTCTGTGGAAAAGTGTTTTTGGCCCTGAGGGCTGCCATCAAAAAAACTGTTAAAACAAAAACTTAGTTTTCTGGCAACCACATTTGGAGACGGAGGAGCAGGAGTGGAACCTGCTGCCCAGGAGAGGGGCCTGCCCGGGTCTGCAGGAAGGTGGGGAGTCAGAGGTGTTGGCCTTCCCAGGGGCCCGGTGGGTGGGGGCCAAGGGCAGGCTTGTGTCCAGAGCCACGCGCCTCACTGCAGGGAGGCCTCGTCCAGGAGGTGATGTCCACTATCCAGAAGTCTGGGGGTGCCCTGAGTGCAACCCCTCCCCCCACTCTTCCCCAGAAGCACAGAGACAAGAGCAAGGCTTTCTCAAGGCCGCATCTTTGGGGTGGCCCCACCCCCAGCCTGGGTGCTTGCTTTCCCAGGCCCGCAGTCTGAGGGATTCCTGCAGAAACCCCTCCTCCGGCGCCTCCCACCAGGACGGCTTTGTGCTCAGATGGGTCTCAGCACTGCGCGGCTGGCCCTGGGTCCCAGACTTGCCCCCCAACTGCCACCAACCTGTGTGCAGGAGCCACTGCCTGTCTCACTGGTGGGAGTGGAGACCCCCTGTTAGCCCCAGCCAGCAGGCTCAGTGACTGGCTCCCTGGCACAGGGACACGCTCACCTGAGGCGGCCAAAACTCGGTGGGGAGCCCTGGCCTTGGTGCCCATAGCACACCTGGGGGACCAAGCTGCCATTCCTCCCAGACCTGGCTGCTCGGAGTGTCACCCAGAGCCCAGAGGTCTCGTGGAGGCTTTGGGCGCCGTCTCCTGGAGAGACGGTGTGCCCCGGCCATCCGATACTTGCTCTTGAGCACCTGCACAAGGTTCGGGGTGACCTGCATCCCCTCTTCCTGGCAAGCGTGCGGCAGTGGGGGACACAGCCGCTGTGCTGGGAGTGGAGAGCAGCTCTGGGGTCCAGCCAACGCGAGTGGGTGCAAGCAGCCCGGAGAGCACAGCTGAGAGAACCCGGCCCCGCCACCCAGAGCCTTCCCAGGAACCTGGCTCGCCCTGGGACACTCTCCTGGTGTCTTCTGCCACCTGGGGGCTGTTGGCTTCTGGTCGGCCTTGGCCGGTGCCTGCCCCTGACACCCTCATGCTCCATGCAGGACTAGCCCTCGGCGATGTGCCCAACCGGCAGCCCATTGGCATCGTCCTCACCGTGCTGGGGGTGGTGGTCCTGGACTTCAGCGCAGATGCCACCGAGGGGCCCATCCGCGCCTACCTGCTGGACGTGGTGGACAGCGAGGAGCAGGACATGGCACTCAACATCCACGCCTTCTCTGCTGGTAGGCACCCTGCTGGGGCGGGGACCGAGGCCGTCATCTCCCTGCAGTCCCTTCTGGCCCTGGGCTAGGGCAGGCTCAGTCGGGGAGTTAGCCAAGGGCATCCATCCTGACTGCTGAGCCCAGCGGCACCGAGGGCCTGAGTCGCTGGGGTGGGAGTCAGGACAGGCTCTCTTGCAGGGGACTCGGAAGTTCCCCACTGACCGCTCCCTCTGGCTGGCCAGAGTGTGTGTTGACACAGTGCCTGGGGACCATGGCGTGCCCAGGGAGGAATGGGCCAGGCCAGTCACTGTCAGGTCAGGTGCTAGGTCACCCCGAGCCTCTTCCGCCATTTCCTCACCCTCCGTGTGCGGAGCGTGCGTCCTTCCTGGCCGCCATGTGAGGGGCAGGCCCTGCTAGGGCTTCCCAGCAAGGACGGGCCTGTCCTCTCCCGGGGCCACGCTCTCCCTCAGCACCCACTTCTCCCCTCCTGCAGGCCTGGGCGGGGCCATCGGCTACGTGCTGGGCGGGCTGGACTGGACCCAGACCTTCCTGGGCTCCTGGTTCAAGACGCAGAACCAGGTGCTGTTCTTCTTCGCCGCCATCATCTTCACGGTGTCGGTGGCCCTGCACCTGTGCAGCATCGAGGAGGAGCAGTACAGCCCGCAGCCCGACCGCGGCCTGGAGGAGGCCGACACCCTGGCCGGCGCCAAGCTCGGCGGTCCCGTGCCGCCCACCCCGCGCCTGAGCGCGCCAGACGAGGGCGAGCAGTACTGCG